AACATACCTCATCGCTCAATCGCCTTGACGTTGAGTACCCCAACAAACGAAGGGAAAAACACTACTGCTGTTGGCAAAGGAAACACTCTTTTTGATGTTCACACTAAACTCGTTGTAAGACCGAACGATGCAAATTCAGTGAGACGTACGAGAACTGCGTAGTTGCTCAAAGCCAATGTCATTCTGCTATTGTTACCTAACATTTCACATCGCCATAGACGTTTTATGTAAATGCGGGAATTTGAAAATTATTGGCAGTTGTCCAAATTCGTAGATTATTTTTCTCTCTTTACATTTCACGGTGGATTAGAAGACCATATTTTTTCAATTCGTGTTGGTCAAGTCTGGTGCTTTCTGCGTTGTTCATGGTTTGCAGTTCTTTTTAAACTTCTTATCTTCGAGCAGTGTTCTTCAGATTGCTTTATCTTTGGCCGATTGTTAAGAGTATTTGAAACTGGAACGTTTTTTTCCTTTGAAGATTCTCGCTACGTTCCATTTGGCCAATTGTGTGCAGCAATTTTCTCTTTTTTTCTTAAGGAACGACAAATTGAAAATTTTGGTTTTTCAACTGTTGTACATTTTAACTATTAACAGCGTTTGGTTATCGCGTTACATTTAATATAGCTGTTATACGAGTTAGTGTGTTATATGACAAATTTTACTTCAAAAACATATATCAGTCACAGTTTTCGAGTATTTTCCAACTAGTTGGCAGAACTTTTGGATTTGTTAAAGTTTGGGATCAATTTTTTTTTGCACCATTTCATTGTTTTCTTTACGTGTTTCTCATCTGCTAAATTACTTTTTTTGGAAACGGGTATTATGTTTTTCTTTTTTAATTTGTTCGGAAAACTCTGCTTTTTTGTTAGTATTTCGTCAATTTATACTGGCTTTTCAGAGTGTTTAAAATTCTGTTTACCGTACAGGGTAGTTAGCGCTTGTAATCTTACGGTCGAATGTTAACTTGAATTTAATGATTGCAAGATGACAGCTCCTGATATTGCTGTTGTTCCACAGTTTAATGGGGATGAAAAAATGGATAAAAGTACAGAACTGGATGTAGAAGACTCCTATTACTTGCTTCATGCGCTAGGTAATCACCTTTTAATTGTATTTTTTGCTACAGTGATTTTGGTGTACTAAAAAAAAACCTGGTAATTCTGTAGTTTTTGGTTGTAGGCAGTACTTTTTTCTATGGTTCTTTGCAACTTAGATTCCTTCTTTAAATTTTTTGAAACTTTTTTCTTCTTGTAGAGGATAAGGGGCAAGAGGTTTTTTGTTTATACCGAATTACTTCCACTGCCTTAAGGAAGCTGTTGTTGTCAGTTAAATTTTTCGGACATTTCATGGATTTCTGGCAGTTCTGTTAATTCGTGGAGTCTAAACTTTGTAAGCGCTTTTCAGTGCCTTAAAGACTGGCAGTAGTAAAACCTACGTAAGCGTGCTTGCTTAGCTACTAAAGTTTTACTTTACTGTTTAACACTGAGATGTTATTTTTTGGGTTTCAGGGTTTGATTCACTTATTTTCATTAGTTACTGTTTTTTAGCAGAACGATGCGAAATTTAGTTCTTAAATTACCACTTTTTTGACGGTACACTTTAGGCTTGTTAGTCCCAATAATGGGAATCAAGTCTTGAAGACCTATTACAGAGTTTTTTGAGTTGATGCCCTGCTTTTAAATTGAAATTGGTGTTAAAAACCAATTTTAAGCTGAAAATTTGTGTAAAATTTGATTTAGTATTGTTCTTTTCAGTTGGTTACTTCTACCACTTGTTGTTCTGCTTGTGTACTTTTCTCTTTTCCTTCCTCTTTTTTTAGGTCCTGATTTTTTTGTACTTCCTGTTATTTCCAATCTGCCTTCGACATCAACTTAATGGCTTTCCGTAATATGATATAGGTGTTACGTCGTTTAGTATTGTTAGTTTGACCCTTACAACGGCAGGAAGGTTTGGGATGGGATGCGGATGAGGCTTGAAGTCCATAACCAATTTCAAAAAATTAAAAGCTTTTTATCTGGTTTTGGCTTCCTGTTGCAAATTTGTGAAAGGTTCTTTATGTTAAAAGACTGGAATAAGGTTTTTAGCAGTAATGTAGATTTTGGAACCAGATCATGTACTGAGGATTCAATACACATCTTTTCTAGAGTCCGAAGCATTCTCATGCGTGGTGACTGCAATGCGGGCTCAAGGGATGCTCACTGAATACAAACAAATTTTACTGGAACATCTAAAAGCTGCTTTATTGTAAGTGTTGGATTTTTTAGTTAACTAGTTTACGATGTTCCAGATGTATTTGAATCTTTGATTTGCAGCGTTTCCGACGCTACGTATAAAGCAGAAATGCGACGTGCTGCTAATGATGAAGTTCTCTGCAAAATTGCTGAGACGTAAGATTATATTCTTTGAATTTTTTGAGCCTAATTAACTCGTTTTCACTTAATTGAGTAAATGAATCAACTCATAGTTAAATTATCTTTTTGGATTCAGCTTCCCAAGTTAAGTTTTTGTCTTTTATTTTCAGAAGACAGCTCTGTTTTGATCTTGTTGTTGGAATTGCTAATAATTTTTTTTAGGCTCAACCCGTCCTACGATCCTTTCGTACAGTGGGGGATGGCGGCTAACGATGTTATTCCTCCAGCATTCAATCAGGTTACAATATAAGACGCATGTTTACAGTTTTATCTCATTCACTTTTTTATAGTAGCCTTAATGTAAATGTTGCTTTAATTGCTGTCATGCGTAAATGTAATAACAGCGCAGTTTCGAAATTTTTCGAGATTAAATTTTAAGTTTTGGGTTAGGGTGTTACAAATTCTGTATTTACAATCTGGCTGTTATTTCTGAATTTTTGAATCTAACAGAATTCCTTGGTCTGTGAATGTTTTTTCAACCTCATCTGCTAGTTATGTAAAAATGCTTATTCAGGGATAATTTTCATTAATTAGAGACATTATGCATTACGTGATGGACGCAGTGTTTTTCACTGGAAGTCCGTCATTTACCTCATTGAGTATGTAGCGTATTTGTTTCGTTCATGATTTAAAGGAAAAGTAGAGAGGTAGATATGGTTTGCCATTAATTTGCTTTACTTTTACCTGAGGCTTCGACTATCTCGAAGTCTACCTACATGTTATTGTAAATCTTCAAATAATATTTTCATCTAAAAAATTCAATTTTTCTTTAGATCCCTCTTTATGCAGATCAAGACATAGAGGGGTTGGACGTTGCTGGTCAGTTATTACGTTTGGCTAACTCTCACAATTCTGCCGTGGATAATTATAATGACGCATTGCATGAACTTATAATGCTTCCGAAGGCGCCATTTGGTAAACTTTTAGAATTATTTGTTTTCAGTTTGTGACTTTAAAGATACGAATATTTTGAATATTATTTTATTATTTTTCGTAATGCCTGTTTTTGAGTTTACCAATTATGAAAATCTTGTATTTTCAATCTGTTTTTTTTTGTTTCTTATCTTTTTCCTTACTTTAGTTCCCGAGAAGTTGCGTGTTCTTTTGCGAGAAACTGAATCTGATTCTACTGAAAGAGTAAATTTAAATTTTGGTGAAATGCCATCCTCGTCGGAGAACCGAGATGGGAAGGCTCTGAACAGTAACGAAAAAAGTGCTAGGAAGGCTCGTACCATCCAGAGATCTATTAAGCAGGTAATATGAGGAAAATTTCTCTAATTTTTTTCTTCTTCTTTTTTGGAAACAAATTATTCTTAATCGTTGT